TCAGCTGTTTTGCGGAGGGCTCTGTTGCTGGCTAGCTGCAAAGAGGTAAATTGCTGGAGCAGATTTTTTTCCCCCTAGCTATGCTGAAAAAGCGAAACTGAAAGTAAAGCAGGGTCTTTGCTGCAACGTGACAAAATGAGGCAGAGAGATATTTTTCTTTTTCCTCACCAAAAAAGGTAGGTGCAAAACTGCAAACAATGGGAAATTTAGGGCAAAAGAGGAGGTTCAAGATTTTAAAACACAAAAGAAAAAAGCTCTATTTAACTAGGGAATTGTAATAATTGAGATACTATTAATTGTATATTGTGTTGAAAGCAGAAATGGTTAAGTTGTGGTTTGGAGGAATATATGGGGGAAATTATTTGGTTTATTATTATTGGTAAATATAATTAATTGATTTGTAAGAAATTGGATTGCATGGAAATAATTGGAATATTCATGTTCATATTGATTAATATACAAAAAAAGATAGTTATATAACTAATTGATTTATATTAAAATGTTGAATTTGTATTAAACAACTGTATTACGTAATTCACCAATGTGAGGATAGATATAAAAATAGATGACAATGCAAAGGGGTATAATATAGAAGAGAAGGGAAAATTGAATTTGATTAAGATTAGAGATGAGAATGAAAGGTAATATTGGTTTTTTTTAAAAATCGATGAGGAATAAATATGGAAAAAAGGAAATATAGAAATTGTAAATTTAATTGAAATGACTAAACACTGTTTAAATTTGTGAACCGGCCAAATACTCTGCTCAAAGAAAATACATTGTATGTTTGTATGTGTGTTTCTAATTATTGCTATTTATTCACATTTGTTCTCTTTTATTCTTTAAAGTTTAATGATTCATTCTTTATCTTAATATCTTTATATTTGTTTGGGGTTGGTTTTCTTCCCTTTCATCTTTTTTATTGTACAGCAATCTTTCTCCTCAAACCTATCACCTCTCTCTTTTCTTTCCTTCTTACTTTCTCTTCCCCCCCATTCTTCTCCTCCCTACTTCCTCTTCCTTTCTCCTTCTCCTCCTCTCTTCCTCCCTCTCTTACCCTCACTCCTACTCTAATTTCCCTTCCCTTCCTTCATCCCTCTCTATTGCTGTATCTTTTTATGCATATGGACTACTCAGAGGGCTGAAAAAGTTATTTTTGACTGATCCTCGCACTTTTGACCTGTCCTCGAACTTACAACTGTCCTCACATTTTATGTTTTTGCCCTATCTTGTCACCATGGTGAAAAGAAGCAGTTGTGAAATGAGTGACACGGTTGTTAAGAATGCTACAATGGGCATAAATGATGACCAGTCATAAGTGCGAAGACCGGTCAAAAGTGTGAGGACCTGTCAGAAATCACTTTTTTCAGCCCTCTGGGTAGTCTTTTTGTGCACACGGACTACTCAGAGGGCTGAAAAAGATATTTTTGACTGGTCCTCGCACTTTTGATCAGTCCTCGAATACGACTGTCCTCACATTTTATGTTTTTTGTCCTATCTCTGTGATGGCGAATCTATGGCACGCGTGCCACAGATGGCACGCGGAGCCATATCAGTGGGCACGTGAGCGTTGCCCTAGCTGAGCTCCAGTGGCATGTGCCAGCTGAGCTCCAGCGCCAGCCAGCTGATTTTTGGGCCTACCAGAAGTTGGGAAACGGGATATTTCCGGCCTCCAGAGGGTCTCCAGGGCGTGGGGAAGGATGCTTTTGCCCTCCCCAGGCTCCTAGAAAGCCTCTGGCCCATCATGCCATCAAGTGCCAAAAGCGGGGGGGAGCACAGGAGGTCACGTGTGCATGCGCGGGGGGGGCAGGATGCATTGAATTATGGATGTGGGCACACACGCGCATGACCCCCCCCTCCCCCCCGCTTTTGGCACGTGACAGCAAAAAGGTTAGCCATCACTGTCCTATCTTATCACCATGGTGAAGAGAAGCAGTTGTGAAATGAGTGATATGGTTGTTAAGAATGCTGCACGGGCATAAATGTGAGGATGGTCATAAGTGTGAGGACCAGTCAAAAGTGCGAGGACCTGTCAGAAATGCCTTTTTCAGCCCTCTGAGTAGTCCCTATAATATACACATAGCCATGGCCACCCAGTCACATGACCTCCAAGCCACGCCCACAAAATAAGCCACGCCCACAGAACAGGTAGTAAAAAAAATAGAACACCCCCCCCCCCCCCCCCGGTCAATGGTGTCCCTCTTTACCATTGTTAAAATCTGGTCACCTTACATTACCTCAAACTAAGGAATTACTTTGTCACTAAAATGTTTCAGAAGAAATAAGAGGGGATATCTATTTAGAGATGTTTTCAGAAGAACTAACTAATGACATCTAACTACAAAATGTCTTCCTGAACTCTCTGACTGGAGAGTAGGAAACCCTTACCAAGAGAGACCACGTTCTTATAATTCTCCAGCATGACTTCCCAATACAGAGCTCTTTGGTGAGGATCCAGCTGAGACCACTCCTCCTCCGGGAAATAAACAGCCACCTCCTCAAAGGACACAAGACTCTCCTGAAAAGGAAAAAAAAAAAAAAATACAGAACAGACTGAAGAGGCACTGCAGCATCTTTCCTCTTATTTAGAGTGGGAGACCGGTCAAAAGTGCGAGGACCTGTCAGAAATCACTTTTTTCAGCCCTCTGAGTAGTCCCTATACAATAGCCATGGCCACCCGGTCACATGACCTCCAAGCCATGCCCACAAAATAAGCCACGCCCATAGAACCGATAGTAAAAAATATTAGAACTCACCCCTGATGGTGTGGCATGACAAGCTACATGGGGGAGGCTGGCCAGGCAAAGCAGGAGGCAGAGGGCGATGCTGTCCGTGGAGCTGCAGTGTCCAACTTCTGCCTTGACAGATCTCTGGAGAGCAAGAGGAGCAGCACTCCCTGGTCCTGCACGAGGGAGTCTGGCCCTTCTTGAAAGGGAATCCCTGTTTCCAATATTATCACCTTCTTTAGCAGAATGTCTGAGTCCATAGATAGCAACTGCAGGGGAAAGGCTGTTGCCAAAGATGTGTACTTTCATACACTACTATGTGATGTCTTTGGAGGGATCATTGTCCCTGAACCAAAGAAATCTTAAGAAATGTCTGTGTTCCTCTCTAAAGAAGAAGCAATGGAACACCTGTTGGATGTCGGCTATGAAAGCAACAGAATCTCTGCGAAATTGCAAGAACACTCTAGAAGTTTGCTATTAAGGTCTGGACCCAATAGGAGAACATCATTTCAAGAAACTCCTTCAAATTTGGCATTAGAGTCAAATACTACCCTAATCTTAACTGGCTTTTTAGATTGATATACTCCAAATAGTAGTAGGTACCAGCACTCCTTGTAGTCTTTGAGAGGGGGTACTGGTGTTTCTGCATGACCATTCTCAAAGATTTTCTCCATGACAGAAAAGAAGTGGTCTCTCACTTCTGTCTTGATTTGGAAATTACATTTAAGGGAGGAGAAGTGCTTCAGCACCTGTTTTCTATTGTTAGGTAGGCGTCTCCTCTGTGTTCTGAAGGGAAGAAGGGCAACCCAGCTGTTCGAGTCATCTTTAACTAGTCCATCATTTTTAAAAAGGGTTCGTCCTTGTTAGAAAAGTTTTTAGTTTAGGTTGTAGAGGTCAATAAGATCTTGGAATGTCCCAGCAGCTACAATTAAGCCAGATTTCTTTTATCAAGAAAAACTTTATTTAAAATCAATAAACTATTTACATTTTAAATCACAGAACTTTGTATCTTGGTCTTTATTTATTTCTGAGGTAAATGTGCCTAGAGCATAATCCCTTCTCCTGTGTGTCTCCTATGTGCCTTCCATGTGTCTACTTAGTGTGTGTGGCTAAAGGGGGTCATATTTATAGGGTGGCTAAGCCACTCCCCCTTCAGTCCCTTAGACAAAATGGAGGGAAAGTATAAACACAAAACCATCCTTCCAGTGTAGACAGTGTGGTTCAGTGGCACTGTTTCAGATAATTATCTGACAGTCCTCAATGGACATTACCTCAAAAGATTGTCATCTTTTGTCTTTGGGGAAGAAGTATCCATCAAATCTCTCTCAAGAACTGTTTTTCAGGAGGATCTCCCAGGAAGCTCCAAATCAGGACAGATCAAGAAGTAGTATAAGGTTCTTCAACTCCTCTGATAGATCCTAGCTTTCTCGTCTTCTCTATGTATCTCTTCTATAGCATACCTCCTCCTGTTTTATTAATTATGCTTTTTGAAATTGTGTCTCCCTCACAAGGAAGAATAGGAGGAAGCTGACGTTTTCTTTTGGGGGAGAAGGACCTGTGACTGAATCCCCAACGCAGGTAAGAGACGAACATTCATTTACTAGATTTGCATTTTCCCTTTCCCTCAAGAAATCACCTGATCGACATATTTTAGGTAGTCCTTGACTTATGGCCCAAAACCATAAGAATTGGGCCCAAAACCTTTGTTGGTAAATCTCTCTCACAGGGAAGAGTAGAAAGAAGTTATTTTTTCCTGATGGTAGAGCTGAAATAGTGGTCAAAATTCCAACTCAGTAATTTTATTAGATTTGTATTCTCTCTTTCCTTCAGAAAGTCAAGCTGGGGTACATAGTGCAGTCACCTTTCATTTTTCCTTCTTGTTTCGGTTGATTTATTCCTTTCTTCCTCAGAAACAGATTTAAATGAGATTCTTGTTAGGGATTTTTTCCCCCTAATACCACTACTTTAAATAGAATGCTCTTTACTAAAGTAGAACATTGCCAAAGGCTTCCCAGTCAAGGAGCCCCTTCCTGCCCCCCGCCCCCCATTTCTCTGCTCTTTGCATGAGCACCTTCCGTGCACAGAAAATCCACCAGGGGGAGCACTTCAGCCTTGGGCCTTACAAGTTGGGAAGGCAGTGACCTCATTCAGTTTTTGCCTTTCCAGGACACTGGACTCTCTCTCACTTTAACCCTTTGAGCTCTGCAGGAGTTTGAAAGGTGGAAACAAAATCCAGAGGTGGAGAAGGTAGGTGTGTGTGTGTGTGTGAATGTGTGTTCTTCTCCTAGAAAGGGAGACCGGGGGTTCTCACTCTAAGAAAGGGGAAGAGACACATGCCTAGTCCTCATCCAGGTTCAGTTTTTTTGAGTATCAGGAGTGGGAGACTCCCCCAGATCCCATATTTCCCTACCACCCTTTTCCATGATTAAAACAAGCATGGGGGAAAGCAGAGACCACACATGCTGCCTTCAGGAATAAATCGAGATCCTCAGGAATGAAAGGGTGGGTACCTGGAGAATCCTACACACCCCATTTCCTGGGAAACTCCTAGTTCGGGTGGAGAGCTTGCATGGCAGATCTCAAGCAGGAAATAAGAAATATATTTGCAAGGAAGTGTAGGAAGTTAGCACCAGCCCCTTTCCTGGAAGAGTGAAATATTTTGGGAAATATTAGGAAGGCAGAATGTTATGTTTCCCTATATGAAAAATGGAGAAGCATGTTTTACAGACAAAGCAGCTCCCACCTTCCTGCCCCCCACCCTTTGTTAATGGGCCAGAGGCAGAAACCCAATCCTTTGTCAAAGGACATTTGCAACACAATAGCAAAAGAAACTAACACAATGGGCCCCATCTAGCAAGGAAACTCACCACATGTGTCCTGGGAAGCACATGTGACCATCAGACAGCAAGGCTAGCTAAGACCCCCACCCCCTGGGAGTCTGACAACCAATCATGGTACTCTTTCGGGGCCCCAAGAAATGCAAAGCCAGAGAGAGCATAAAACCCAAAAAACTTGCTGTATCTCCCCTTTTCTGTTCAGAAACTCAAGCCATGTGATCCTGTCCACCATTAAACCATCTTTCCAAGCAGTCTCCATGTTTCCAGTGTCTTTTTCCCCACTTGGAGCAGAATCTAGAAGGATGTTTCTTCCAACAGAATAGAGGCAAATGATTATGCCTACATTCTCACCATGTGCTGAATGACACTAAACTAGGCTTGGATCCCCTGCAGTTCAATTTGTCTTAGGAAGGTAGTGAACCAGCATCCTAAACCAAGATCAATTGACTGGCGTTTCATTTTATGTGAACTGAACGTTCATACTTCGTTAACCTGTTCTGGGCAAGAACTGGGCAGAAGATGCTGGAAGAAGGAACCATCGTTTCACAAGTTCACGCCTGGAACTTCAGGAGCGTCCAATATCAGGAGGATGAAGGTCCCCGAGGACTTTGCAGCCGACTCCACTACTTTTGTAGTCGATGGTTGAGACCAGAAAAGCACACAAAAGCGCAGATGCTGGACTTGGTTGTTCTGGAGCAGTTCCTGGCGCTTCTGCCCCTGCAGATGGAGAGCTGGGTGCGGGAGTGTGGAGCAGAGACCAGCTCCCAGGCGGTGGCCCTGGTGGAAGGCTTCCTCCTGAGCCAGGCGGAGGAGAAGAAGGAGCAGGTTGAGTTGCAGGTGAGAGGACTTCCTCCTGGGACTCCAAAAAAGGTTGAATATAATAATATGTTCACATTTTTGTATCCTTTTTTTTTTTTTTATTGCAAAAGTTTTACAATTACATTTTCACCCCTTTTTTCACCCCCCCACCTCCCTCCCCAAACTTCCCGTCCTCCCTAACCCTCCCTAACCCTCCCCCCCCCAGACTTCCCTATTATGTACTCATAACTAATAACACTGATATATATACCTGAACCCATCCCTCCCCCTACATAATTTTCCCTCTTTGTCTCTTTATATTAAAATATTTCTAATACATTGTTTTCAAATAAAAGCTATTTGATACTTTCTAATTTGGTATTTGTTCTGAACATATTCTATCCACCTTTTCCATTCCCATTCATAAGTCTCTTGTGAACAATCTTTTAAATATGCTGAAATCTTCGCCATCTCTGCAAAACTGGCCATCTTCGAAGTCCATTCCTCGATAGTAGGCAAAGCTTCATTCTTCCAATATTTACCTATCAACAATCTTGCTGCTGTTATCATATACAATATTAATTTTGTTTCATCCCGTGTAAAACCCTTAACTATGCCCAATAAAAACAATTGTGGAGAAAATTGAATTTTTTTCTTCAAAACATTCTGCATGACCCACCATATTTTTATCCAAAAAGCCTTAACTTTCCTACAGGTCCACCAAACATGATAATACGTAGCATCCAAACATTCACATCTCCAACATTTTGGCTGAACATTAGGGTACATACATGACAACTTTTTAGGATCTAAATGCCATCTATAAAACATTTTATAAAAATTTTCCCTCAGATTCTGCGACTGTGTAAATTTAACATTCTGAACCCAAATTTTTTCCCATGTTTCCAACATCACTGGTTCTTCAAAATTTTGTGCCCACTTAATCATGCAATCTTTAACTAATTCCGTTTCTGAATCCCTTTCTAGCAAAACATTATAAAGCCTTTTAATATGCATTGGACCTTTCTCTCTTATATGTCTAACCAATTCTTCCTCATGCAACATAATACCAGTTTTTTGGTCCTCTTTCCATCTCAATTGTAATTGATTATATTGTAACCAGGTTAAATTAATCCCTTCATCCAACAGTGTCTGCAATGTCTTCAGCTGCCATCTGCCCGCATCTGTAAAAAGAACCTCTTTGTATAAAAACCCCCCGAGTGACATTATATTTGTATTCCACAAGGTATGACCAAGATCCAGCCATAGCGGTATTTTATAATCCCATTTGAGTCGGTGCTTCTTCCAAACTCTCATCAAAGAGTCTCTAAGTATATGACTTTTAAATACTTTATCAACTTTGTCATCATAAAATAGGTAAGCATGCCATCCAAATTCAAGATCAAAACTTTCTGCATTCAATATTCCAGCCTTTTTACCCCCAAACCAATCACTTGTTAAAGTTAAAGCTGCTGCATCATAATATAACTGTAGGTTTGGAAGTTTAAGGCCTCCTCTTTCTGGAACATCTTGCATAATTTTCAATTTCACTCTCGGCTTTTTCTCGTTCCAGACGAACTTATTAAGTCCAGTTTGCCAAACTTTCAGTTGTTTATCACTTTTAAGCACCGGAATCATTTGAAACAAAAACAGAAATCTTGGCAAAATGTTCATCTTAACTGCTGCTATTCTTCCAAGTAAAGACAGTTGCAGCTTTTTCCAAATCTCCATGTCTTTCTGAACCTCTCGCCACAACACCTCATAGTTATTTTGAAACAATTTCATGTTTGATTCTGCAACCTGAACTCCAAGATATTTTACCTTAGGTACAATTTCAAAACCTGCCCTCCTTTCAAGCTCATGTTTACGATCTTGTGTCATATTTTTGACTATCATTTTAGTCTTTTTTGAATTCAGTCTAAAACCTGAAACTCTACCATAGTCTTGTATAATGTCATTCATCAGGATTGTTGATTCCATTGGTTGTGATAGGGTAACCACCAGATCATCTGCAAATGCCTTTATTCTATAATCCTCTTGCCTTATCATTATGCCTTTCAAAATTTTTGAGTCCCGTATTGTATTTAGCAAGACTTCCAATGTTAAAATAAATAAAAGTGGGGACAACGGACATCCCTGTCTTGTTCCTTTTTCAATTTTAAACTCTGTCGTCAAACTTCCATTAATAATAATCTGTGCTTTTTGCTCTTGATAAATTGCTGAAATCGCCTGTGTAAATTGGTCCCCAAAGCCCATCTTTTTTAAAGTCTTTAGTAGAAAATTCCAATCCACTCTATCAAAGGCCTTCTCCGCATCCAAAAAGACCAGCACTGCAGAAATCTGTTTATTCTTATCAAGATATTCCAATAAGTCTATTACTTGCCTTACATTGTCCTTCATGTATCTGCCCTCAATAAATCCCGCTTGGTCCTCATGAATCACCTTTTGGATTACTGGCATCAACCTGTTGGCTAATACCTTCGCATAAATTTTATAGTCTGTGTTCAAAAGAGATATTGGTCTGTAGTTCTCTGGTTTTTTAGGACCAACTTGTTCCTTTGGTATCAAAGATATATAAGCAGTTGTCCAGGATGGGGGTATTTTACCCCCTTGTTGAATATTGCAAAATAAATCTCTAAGTTGTCCCACCATTTCAGCTTGTAAAGTTTTGTAATACACTGCAGTCAAACCATCCGTGCCAGGAGCTTTAGCTGTTTTTAGCTGTTTAATTGCTGCTATTATCTCCTCCTCTGTTATAAGATAATTCATTCTTTCCTTTTGTTGATCAGTAATTTTTGTAACTCTCTTATCCTTTAAATATTTTTCTATAAGTCCATTCTGCACCTCTTCTTTAGCATATAGTTTAGTATAATAATCCACAAAAGCTTCTTTAATTAATTTTTGTTGAAAAATTTCTTTCCCTCCAATATCGATACTGTCAATAGTCCGCATACTTTGTTTTTTCCTCAATGTGTAGGCCAACCATCTGCCCGGTTTATTAGCATTGCAAAATGTATTATGCTTCGCGTATTGTAAACTTGTTGCAACTTGTTCCGCCATAAGCATTTGGAATTGGTCTTTCAAAAGTTTTATAGCACTTCGTATTCTTTCATCTGTTGGGTTTTTAATAAGTAACTGTTCTTTATTCTTTATTTCCATTTCCAACTCAGATCTTTTCTTTTGTCGGAACAGTCTATGTTTAGAATTCATGTAGATAAGTACCCCTCTCATATAAGCTTTACTTGCATCCCAAACAATTTCAACTGGGGTACCTTTATTCAAATTTATTTCAAAAAATTCTTTCAAATGCTTTTTAAGTTCTATTATATTTTTTTCATATCTAAACAAGTTCTCATTTAATCTCCAAGAACGTCTCTCAACCTTATCCATCTCGATTTCTATCCATACAGGACTATGATCAGTCAAAGTTCTTGGAAAAATCTTTGTTCTTTTTGTCTTAACAAGTAGATCATTTGACAACAAGATAAAATCAATCCTAGAAAAGGATCTATGTCTATCAGAAAAAAAAGTGTAATCCAATTCATTTGGATTATGTATTCTCCAAACATCTTTTAGTTCCATATCTTCTTTCATATCAAAAAAGGTCTGTGGTAATCTAATTCTAGACTTTGCCAAGCTCTTTTTATCTAATTTAGAATCAATTACTCCATTCCAATCTCCCATAATTAAAATAGATCTGTAGTCCCATTGCAATATTTTAGTATGTAACATCTTGTAAAAATAATCCTGTTGTTGGTTGGGAGCATAAATTCCAATCAAAAGAATTTGACCATTTGCTGTAAACAATTCAATTGCTACAAATCTACCATCTTGATCTACTTCTATAACTTTTGCTGTTAATTTTTTATTTACATAAATAACCACACCATTCTTTTTCTGCGAAGTTGAAGATATATAATGTGCTCCTAGTTTTGAGTTTATCAAATATTTTTGATCTTGAGTTGTAATATGCGTTTCTTGTAAACATATTATATCATTATTAAATTGTTTCAAATATGTAAATAAATTTTTCCTTTTCTGTGCTGAATTCAACCCATTGACATTCCAAGATAAACACTTAAAGGTCATTAGCCTCTTTCTGGAGCGCAGAGCAATATGCTTGAAGTTCATCCGAGAGCTTCGATCTCGCTCCTCCCATAGCGCCAATCTCTTGTGCAGTGCTCTTAACTGCCTTCTTGTCTTGTCTTTCCTGTTGTTGTTGTTGCTTCTGTTTAAGTAGCTTGGATTGAGCTCTAGTTATACGTTGATCTTTAACTTCAGTCAACTGAATCAAATCCAAAATTGGAGAAGAATCCAGCGATGGCTCACTCAGAATACCTCCTTCTGCACCTTGCACGTTTTCTAATTCCTGCTTAGACTGTTCTTTCAATTGCCTCTCTTCACTCTCCTTAATCTCCAGAACTGTAGATGTACGTGGAGATGGTGTTCTTTCCTTAAGAATAGTACTGTAAAAGTGTTGCGCCTTCTCCACGGTATTCAACCGATATCCTTCTCCCTTATATCTGAAAATTACCCCAGCTGGTGCATCCCACCGGAAGGGTATCTGTAAATTTTTCAATTCCTTAACAAGAAAACCAAATTCTTTTCTAGCTTTCAGCATTTTAGGAGGTAATTCTTTAAAAATTACAAGCCGTGAGCCCCCCACTTGTATAGAAGTGTGAAAAGATTTTTGCAGGATATCATTTCTAATTTCTCTCTCAGTAAAGTATATGACCACATCTCTGGGTAGTTGTCTTTGCCTGGCCACCCAAGAGTTCACTCTGTAAATTTTATCTATTTTATGAAATACCAAATCAGGATTAACTTGTAAAATCTTAGCCAGGGCTTCAGAGCAAACTTGTCTCAAGTCCTGTCTTTCCTCCTCTCGAATTCCCCGAAGCCGTATGGCAAATTCCATCGCCCGGAATTGTATCATAACAATCTCATCTTCAATTCTCTGCATTTTATTGTCAACTTCATCAATTTTATAATCATTGTCTTTCATCCTAACATTAACTTCTGATTTAAATTCTTCAACTTTAAAATCAACTTTCCCAATAAAATCTGCCAGGCCAGACGCCACTTCTGATATTTTTTTGGTCACCATAATTTGATTCTGTTTCACCATGTCTTTAACTTCATTAATTTCCTGCAAAAATTCCTGATGTGATTTTTGAAGTTCCTGTTGTGATTCTTGAAATTTATCATCCAAAGTTTTAGAAATAAATTCTTTTAAATCTGCCACATCAAATTCTTTTTTCTGAGTTTGTAACTGTTGAGCAGGGGGAAGTTGCGTTTGATGTTTATGTGTGGGGGATCCCCCCCCTGATGCCTTCCCTTCCTGCTTCTTTGAAGCCATCGTGCCACGTAAGCTAGTTTTTTTGAAGAGGGAAGTTCTTTTTCCTTTCCCTCTTCCACAGAAACTTCTAAAAAAGTCCCCCAGATTTAATCAGGTGGAACTAGAATAAAGCAAAGTCAAATTTTAGCAAAAGAAATTTTTTCTTTAGATAGAGCAACTTTGTAGCAATTTTACAACTTTGTAGCAAAGCAGGGAGGCTTCACAAATCCACTTTCACTAGCTCGTTAACTCAAACGCTGGACGCCATATTTTTTCAAATCACTTTCACTCGCTCACTTTCTCTTTTGATTTAAAAAGTCAACAAAGCACCAATACTTGCAGTTTTCAAGTTTCTGGATTCAAGTTGATATTTCCGCTGTTTGTTAAAATTAATTCCTCTCACTTTAAAAGTTTGCTGCTGCCGGCTTGTTCTGCTGAAGGCAGAATCGTCCCACGCCGCCCGGAGTCTCCGCAGGTTGGAAGGGAGCCACACCTGTTTTCACCCCCAGAAGCAATTCCCTGGGGGGGTTACAGGGGCTCAACCTGTACCCTGCTGTCTCTGCTCCTGCAATCTTCAAGATTTCGGAGTTTTCGAGCCGCACCTCGTTCGCGGGGCGGCTCTACAGGCGGCAGGGCTGGCGGTCTTTAAAAAGTCACCGCCTTCGCCGAAGCTCGCAAACCGGAAGTCCTTCCCACATTTTTGTATCCTTTTAATAGTTTTATTAAGTTAATTAAGAGATAAAATACAAAAAATGTAAACAGTAGGAACTGGGGGAAAAGGAAGAGAAAGATGTTTAGGATAAAGGGGAGGGGAAATCATTGAAAATCTGATTCTTTTTATCACAGTAAAATATAATGGTAACATTAGAGGCTCAACTTTTTACTCTTACATACTTAATATGTACTAGCAAATTCTGTAACAACAAACTTATGTAATCAGCAAAACTGGAATAGAATAGAACAGAATTGGAAGGGACCTTGGAGGTCTTCTAGTCCAACCCCTGCTTAGGCAGGAACCCTATACCATTTCAGACAAATGGAGCATTCACAATTTTTGGTGGCAATTTGTTCCACGGATTAATTGTTCTGTCAGGAAATTTCTCGTTAGTTCTAAGTTGCTTCTCTCCTTGATTAGTTTCCACCCATTGCTTCACATCAAGATCACATGAAGTGTTAATAACTTGGTAAAGTCACACTTGGAATACTGTATCCAGTTTTGGTCGCCATGATGTAAAAAAGATGTGGAGACTCTAGAAAGAGTGCAGAGAAGAGCAATAAAGATGATTAGGGGACTGGAGGCTAAAACATGTGAAGAATGGTTGCAGGAACTGGGTATGTCTAGTTTAATGAAAAGAAAGACCAGGGGAGTCCCTTCCAACTCTGTTATTCTATTCTATTCTATTCTATTCTATTCTATCCTATCCTATCCTATCCTATCCTATCCTATCCTATCCTATCCTATCCTATCCTTTCCTATCCTATCCCAGTATTTCTTTGCTTTTTCACAAGTCCAGCAGAGATGGTAAAAAGTTCCTTTTTTATATTTACATTTCAACCATGTATTTGAAATTCCCTTAAACATCTTTGGCAGTTTATCATGTGTTAAATAGAAGTACATACCTCTTCATGATGTGTGATATCCATTAATTTTTTTCCCTTGCATACTATTTCAAGTCCTTTGCAATGGAGATCAGGGATGCTCAGAGAAAGAGGCATCCCTCAAATCTCCCTGAAGAAGTGTTTTTCAGGAGGATCCCTCAGGAAGATCCAATTCAGGACACCTCAGGAGGTAATATAAGGGCCTTCTACTCCTCTGATAAATCCTAACTTTCTCATCTTCTCTGTGTTCTCTCCTCTATAGAATACCTCCTCCCATTTTACTAATGATGCTTTTTGAAATTCTGTCTCCCTCACAGGGAAGAATAGAAGGAAGTTGACTCTTTGTTTTGGGGGAGCAGAAACCAGGATTGAACCTCCAACTCGGGTAAGAGAAGAACATTCATTTACTAGATTTATATTTTCCATTTCCATCAGGAAATCAGAGGATGTAGATAGGATATGTCAGTGATGACTAACCTTTTTGTCGTTGCATGCTGAAAGCGTGCCTGCACATGTGCGATAACACGCGTGTGTGGCACTCATAACGCAATGCGTGTGTGGCACCCACTCCACCTCGGTGAGAACAACTGGAAAATAGCGGGCTCTGCTCAGCCCCGCAAAAATCCAGCTGGTAACCACTGCCAGGAGACACTTTGGGGTCACAGCCTTATTTTAGGGATGGTTAAGGAAGGAGAGGCGCTTCGCTGACCGCGAGGAATTCGCAAATTCTTCATTAGGTCCGAAGCAATCTCTTCCTGAACTGCAGGACGGCCGTTCTGAACGTCCGCCATTGCTGGCAGTCACAAAGCCGGGACAATCGGGAACCAAGATTGTGCAGGAGTGGTGTATGGACAAAACATTGAAATTCGGTGAGATATTTACCAACTTTTACTTTAATGACTTGCAATAACAAAAGGATTATGAAAACAAAACTCCTAAGCTTAAAGAAAAAAAAATCCGGAAACGAAAAGGCGGGAAAAAAAGCCCAAGAGAAGCTACAAAACACAGACAGCATAGAAAATAACCTAAATAATCTAAAAGCAATTTTAGGGAGAAATTACTTTTTTATTTGAATTTCTAAACCCCTTGGATTTAGCCAACCATTAGTTGTTTTTGACAGATTGCTTACATTGGATGGGGTATAAGAGAACCATCTACTGGAGAAAGAAATACTACAACACTATAGTCGCAGTATATTTAATGAAAGCTAATCTAATACACACAAAGTCTAATACATAGAACAGAAGTAACAACATCTGGTGAATGGACTGACCTTGACTCTTTTGTTAGAAGACTGGGAAAATTCAAGAACATTCAATAGTGGTTTTTTTTCCTTTCCTTCTGAAGAATTACAAAAGGAACTAATTTGCAAATAATTAAATCTTACTAAAATTGACTATTGGATTATGGTTTAGAAAGACTGGAAGAACTTAGTGGACTAATCTGGACAAATTTGGACTTGGGCTATTAATGTTATTTAATAGAATACTAGCTGGATACCTGTGCTTCGCTACGAAACTATGTGATGGGGCTTGATAAATTGACACTTAAAACTTGTAAATTAATGAGTAGTTATAATCGGTTTCTCCTCCCCCTCCTTCTCTGCCTCAGCCTTTTTTTTTTTTTTAATTTTTTTTAATTTGATTTATATGCCGCCCTTCTCCGGAGACTCAGGGCGGCTTACAGTGCGTTAAGCAATAGCCTTCATACTTTTGTATATTTATACAAAGTCAGCTTATTGCCCCCACAAACTGGGTCCTCATTTAACCTACCTTAGAAAGGATGGAAGGCTGAGTCAACCTTGAGCCTTGGAGAGATTGGAACCAGCAGTAAATTGCAGGCAGCTGTGTTAATAACAGGGTGCTTTAAACCACTGTAGTACCAAGGCTCTTGGTACCAAGGCCTTGCCCCACAGAAGCCTCCCCTATCCTATCCCCTGCTTGCTGCTGTGAAAGTAAAACTGAAAGTGAAACTCCTCTCCTCTGCTTGTGTTTTGCATTTGAAACAGATTTCTTTTCAGGTGGGGAGCGGTAGTAGAACTCCTTAGCATCAGAATATGTTAATCATAATATAAGAAATGCTAATGCTCTGATGGTCATTTCAAAAAATCCTTTCTTAATGAGCACCTAGAAGCCAAGAGGAACATACGTGACAAATTTCAAGGCTGGGCTCTGCTTCAGCCCAGCCTAGCCCTTCATCCAGCAGCTAAGGATGAGGAACTCAGCCATGAGGCCTTTTAGGGAACTGCATGCAAATCAAAACAAAGCGCTGCGAGTCCAGAAGAGGGAGGCCAAGGTTCAAAGGGGATGGGAGGGCTGGGACAAATCTGAAAAAACAGACCCTTCCTTCCATGCCAGGTTTCCATGAGAAAGCCCAGGAGGCAGCTGGCGAAGAGGCAGCCCTCAAGCGACTGCTCTCCCTTTTTTCCTTCTCCTTCCTTCAGAAGTGAGAGTCGAAAAGCCCCATCATTTCCAGCCACCATCCCACCACCTGTCTTTGCTTGCAGAGTGTGTGGCACAGCTAGAGGATTAGGTTGGATGACGGGGGCCAAATGTGCACGTGTGGCACCACCCTACCCTGCTACTTGCCTTCCCTCACTTCGCAGGGACACCAGCAACAACTAGAGGTGTGGGGATAAGTGGGGAAGGCATGCAATCCAGCCTGCCAGACGTGCCATGAGGCTGCCTGCTCTGTAGTAGCCACGGGCAAGCAAACACGACAGAGTGTGCAGAGAGTCCACACGGTGCATCTGGTGGCTAGATCGCATACCTACCCCACCCGCGTCTCTGCCAGTGCCACTTCTATGAGGCGAGGCAGGGGTGGCACCACAGCAGGGCCCCTACATTCTCAGCCCCTGCCATCCAGCCTGATCCTCCAGCTCCACCACTGCACTCCACGGAGGAAAAGACAGACGGTGGGACAGATCGCATGCCTCCACCTGCCCCCATGCAGGCTGTAGTTGCTTCCAGACACCATCTTATTTATTTATTTATTTATTATTTATTTATTATATTTCTATACCGCCTTTCTCCCGTAGGACTCAAGGCGGTGTACAGTCAAGAAAAATATAGACACACAAACATCATAAAATTGCTAATTAAAATTGTTACTTAGTTTGGTCAATTAAATAAAACTCAGAATTAGATAACATTTAAAAAATCATTCGCATGTTTGTATGTTTAGCCCTGCCTGTTGGAACATCAGGGCCTTGAGGGCACGGCGGAAAGCACGGAGATCAGGGATATTCCGTATCTCTGGGGGCAGTTCATTCCAAAGGGTTGGAGCCCCCACAGAGAAGGCCCTCCCCCTGGGAGTCGCCAGTCGACATAATTTGACTGACAGTACCCTGAGTAGTCCCTCCCTGTGAGAACGAACTGGTCGGTGGGAGGCTATTGGTGGCAAAAGACGGTTTCGTAGGTACCCAGGTCCTAAGCCATGGAGCGCTTTAAAGGTGATAACTAACACCTTGAATCGCACCCGGAAGACCACCGGGAGCCAGTGCAGCTCGCGTAGGAGAGGTGTTACATGGGCGTAATGAGCTGCGCCCATAATCACCCACGCGGCTACGTTCTGGACCAGTTGGAGCCTCCGGGTGCTTTTCAAGGGGAGCCCCATGTAGAGAGCATTACAGTAGTCCATACGGGAGGTAACTAGGGCATGAGTGACCGTGCGCAAGGCATCCCAATCCAGAAAGGGCGGATCAACTGGCAGATCAGGCGAACCTGATAACAGGCACCCCTGGCCACGGCCGTCAAATGATCTTCTAAAGATAACCGTGAATCCAGGAGGACACCCAAGTTGCGGGCCCTCTCTGTGGGGAGCAAGATCTTATCCCCTATTGTCAGTGATGGTACCAGCTGACTATACCGGGACGCCGGAAGCCACAGCCACTCGGTCTTGGAGGGGTTGAGTCTGAGCTTGTTTCTCCCCATCCAGATCCGCACGGCCTCCAGGCAACGGGACATCACAGCAAGGGCATCATTGGGGTGGTCTGGGGTGGAGATGTATAGCTGTGTGTCATCAGCATACTGATGAACACTCACCCCAAAACCACGGATGATCTCACCTAGCGGTTTTACATAAATGTTGAACAGAAGGGGTGAGAGGACTGACCCTTGCGGCACCCCACAAATAAGGTGCCTCGAGGTCGACCTCTGCCCCCCTGCCAACACAAACTGCGAACGGTCAGAGAGGAAGGAGGAGAACCACCGAAGCACGGTGCCCCCTATTCCTAACCTCTCCAGCCGGTGCAGTAATCTTGCCCTGCACATGTGCTCATCATCTCCTATGACAGCCATGCCCACTTCCCCACCCTCCCTGATGACGCACTGAACTCAGGCTTATTTTGGGGGTAGGGCTTATATTATGAGCAGCATGGAAAATCATGCTAGGTCTTATTATCGATAGATTGTATTTTCTGGGAATCACGGTATTCTCTATGCTTTTCAATAAAAAATGTTTTACATAATTCTTCATGGTGCCCCTTTTTAATGTAATTCTTTGACTTGGATTTGTGCAAGGATCCTGAAAAATATTTAAATATTCAAACTGGCAAATTACCATTTTTGAAAAGAAGGTTTACAATCATTGAGTAAAAATTGTTCTGAAAGAGAACATAAATTTTGCTTTCAAAGTAAATATTAATTTCCTGATTTGTGCCTGTATTTGGAGGCCAAACAAACCAGCTTTGCAAAGGCTAAGAAATGTCTTCCTCAGAAAATGTTTTCAATTTTCTTACTTACATGCCAGCCAATGGCTCACAATACCAGCAGCTTCCTTGTAATCTGAGGAGGGGCAGAGTCTCTGGATTTTGATGGCACACCACACAGATCACTGTCTGAGCTCTCCCAGCACTTTTATGAAAGTGTTGAGGATTGTCAGAGTGTGCACAGCGTAACTACTATTTTGAGACAACCCAGGAGCAAAATACAGTACACAGAGGTTTGTCTTACAAACAGTGGTTTATATACAAGACTTTTATATAGATTCATGCACGTGGTAGGCACATAGCAGGCAAGCAACCAATCTTCAACTCTACACTGAGAACTACAATGCAGATAGCACACAACGAGAAGAAAGATACACGAGGAGAGAGAGAGAGAGAGAGAGAGATGCCTTCTCATGGCCTCCCTTATATAGACAGCTTCTTAAAGTGGCAATAACCCTGCTGATTCATCCTCAGTCTTAAAGTGGTTGGTCAATTTTAAATCATCATTACTCTGACATGCCTCCCATTTAAAACTGAACAGCTGAATGCTTTAACATATTCATGATGCTTTCTATTTCTATTATGTCCTTGCCTCCTGCTCCGGTTCCTGCTCTCATTGCTACACACGCTACTAGTACTATAGCTGCTGGAACTATTCCTATGGTCAGTATCTACTGACTCTGTATACTCTTGTCTCATTATTCTCCATTACATCCTGTTTACCATCCCTTGGCTGGATACCGTTACTTTCACTTTTAACTAGCTCAGTTTCCTCCGCAGGATTATCTGCCTGCCTATCATTCTCATTAATTTTGGCTTCCTCAATTTATCTTGTTGCTCCTGAATGCCACCTACTCTAACCCCACTTGTAGTAAACTGCTCAGGAGGGATACCTTTATTACTCCTTTCAGATCTCCTTGGTATTATCTGTTTCCAGCATTTCTGTGCTTTTACTTTTTATCACAGGTCTATCCTCTTCTATATCTACTTCTGACCTGCCTTCATGTCGTTCCTTTATCATACTTCCTTCCGGAAAATTAGTGCTATGCATTGGCATGAACACATCAGGATTAGCATGCACCCTATTCCAATTGTTCTGCTCCACAAAACTAGCAGATCTAGAAATCACAACCTTTCTGGTTCCATCTGTAAACCCTTTGGAACCTGGCTCATACCCAATAAACCTAAGCTTCCTGGCCTTTTTCTGTCCTTTTCTCCTGGTGCCTTTGGGACTATGCACCCAGGCATAACTACCAAATGTCCTTAGATGAGCCAAGGAGGGTTTCCTTCCATGCAACAGGAAATACGGTGTTTCCTTTATTGCCACACTCCATATCCTGTTAATTATATAACTTGCTGTCTCCATGGCTTCCCCCTAGTAAACCTTACTCATGCTTGCATCAGCAAGCAATGAGTCCTTCATGGTCTGTATCATACCATTTCTTCTTTCAACCACTCCATTATCAGCCAGTGAATATGGATTCATACATCTAAACTTAACCATTATTGGAAATTATCAGACATAAACTCTGTTCCCCTGTCTGTTTGCAGCTGGCATACTTTACAACCGTACCGTTGCTCTACAAGTTTTCCCCACTGCTTGAATTGTTATAATACATCTGTCTTGCTTTTTAGCAGATAACAAAACCCATATCTACTGTAGTCATCTACTATGACTAAGGCATACCTAGCTCCTCCTAAAGAGGGTGCCATAGGGCCAATTAAATCAGCATGCATTAACTGCAGTACTCTGTTTGTTTGCCTTGAGCTTTTTCTACTTACAGGATATACCCTGGAGTTTGACTGTTTACAAACAGCGCAATCTAAATACACATTGCATTTCTTTATTCTAAACCCCTCAGCTAGGCTTGGCATCTTCTTTAGTAGATCGAAACTTGCATGCCCCAATCGTGTATGCAACAAATGTATGCAATTGTCATGTGTGGGAGCATTCATAAGTGCACATGCACAACTATTCCTCTGCCTTCTGAGAACATACAGGCCTCTGTTGAGATTCATGTTGAGATTCATAGAAATAAGTTAGCATGCTTAGTGATTCATTGTAGAGAGGAGGAGCACAAAAAATGTCACCGACTGATACACTGTCTTTAATTGTATGGAATGAGGATGTTTTTATGTTTTGTTTTTGTTTGATTTCTTAAAAAAAAAATCAAAAAAAAAGTTGATAAAACCTGCCTAAAATATTTCTTTAGTCAATTCTTTAATATTTCTTTTTCTTCTGTCCATTTTGTCATCTAAACCACTTTCAGGAGAGTCTTGTGTCCTTTGAGGAGGTGGCTGTGTTTTTCTCCGAGGAGGAGTGGTCTCAGCTGGATCCTCACCAAAGAGCTCTGCATTGGGAAGTCATGCTGGAGAATTATAAGAACGTGGTCTCTCTTGGTAAGGGTTTCCTACTCTCCAGTCAGAGAGTTCAGGAAGACATTTTGTAGTTAGATGCCATTAGTTAGTTCTTCCGAAAACATCTCTAAATAGATATCCCCTCTTCAGAGGGAGAAGGAAAAGTTCTGTTTTTCTTCTGCTCCTAGGAAGGAAATGGGTGTATGGCATTCTGCTTAGATGTGTCCTGTCCAATTTTTTTTTGTATTTCTACTGAAACATTTTAATGACAAAGCAATTCCTTAGTTTGAGGTAATGCCAAACTCCATCACACAGATTTCAACTATTTTGGCTCAGATGCTTCCATATCATTCAGGTATTTTGATTTAATGTCTTTTTCAAGGTTTTATGCCTAATCAATAAGGATATTATCATTTCTATACCTATTATATTGTTATTATAATATAATATTGTAAGGATACAGATATGCAGTATATATTAGAATTTGTCACAATTAATATGACTTGTGAAAGAATGATCTTTTTCCCAACCTTTCTCTCACTTTCATTTCTCTTTCCCTTTGAAGGTGAGAATGAGAATGACAATAAAGACTCTGGAGAACCAATCAAAGTGTTTAGACAAGGAGACGTAATGGAGAAACCTGCAATTCAAACAGAATTCCAAAGGCAGGAGAGAAACCTGTCAAATAACTGGAATAAAGAAAGCTCATCTTTGATTGTTGCTCAGATGCAGGACTTTATTGATCAACAAGGAAAACTAAAGAAGAAATATATTGGGAAAGGTCTAAGACTCTTCAAAGAAACATTAGATGTAAATGGACCCTGTCCATCACAAGCCAAAGGACCAGCCAATATATGCAAAGACAAAGAAAAAAATTACAGTTGGATATTCACGCTTACTCAAGAAAATGGGTTCCTTGAGTCACAGAAAAGTTTTCACATGGGAGAGAAGTCAAATAAATGCAATGAACATGGAAACAAGATTGTTAATAAAAGGACATGCAGAAGGGAGAAGCCACATAAATGCATGGAGTGTGGAAAGGGTTTTAGCCAAAAGAGTGCCCTTATTACCCATCAAAGGATCCACACAGGGGAGAAGCCATATAAATGCATGGAGTGTGGAAAGGACTTCAGAACAAGCAGTAAACTTACATCCCATCAAAGGATCCACACAAGTGAGAAACCATATAAATGCATGGAGTGTGGAAAGGGTTTTAGCCAAAAGAGTGCCCTTATTACCCATCGAAGGATCCACACAGGGGAGAAGCCATATAAATGCATGGAGTGTGGAAAGGACTTCAGAACAAGCAGTAAACTTACATCCCATCAAAGGATCCACACAAGTGAGAAACCATATAAATGCATGGAGTGTGGAAAGGGTTTTAGCCAAAAGAGTGCCCTTATTACCCATCGAAGGATCCACACAGGGGAGAAGCCATATAAATGCATGGAGTGTGGAAAGGGTTTTAGCCAAAAGAGTGCCCTTATTACCCATCAAAGGATCCACACAGGGGAGAAGCCATATAAATGCATGGAGTGTGGAAAGGGTTTTAGCCAAAAGAGTGCCCTTATTACCCATCAAAGGATCCACACAGGGGAGAAGCCATATAAATGTATAGAGTGTGGAAAGGGCTTCAGAGCAAGCAATGATCTTGCATCCCATCAAAGGATCCACACAGGGGAGAAGCCATATAAATGCATGGAGTGTGGAAAGGACTTCAGAACAAGCAGTAAACTTACATCCCATCAAAGGATCCATACAGGGGAGAAGCCATATAAATGCATTGAGTGTGGAAAGGGCTTCAGAACAAGCAGTAAACTTACATCCCATCAAAGGATCCATACAGGGGAGAAGCCATATAAATGCATTGAGTGTGGAAAGGGCTTCAGAAGAAGCAACGATCTTGCATCCCATCAAAGGATCCACACAAGGGAGAAGCCATATAAATGCATGGAGTGTGGAAAGAGTTTTAACCAAAAGAGTGCTCTTATTACCCATCAAAGGATCCACACAGGGGATAAGCCATATAAATGCATGGACTGTGGAAAGGGCTTCAGCAAGCCCCGTAGTCTTATTTCTCATAGTATGATTCATAGACTGGATAATCCCTAAAATAAAGATACATTTGGGTGAGAATGTATGCTAATTATTGATTTAATGGTTCTATGTATGGATTTCCAATTTACAAACTCAACTGAAGATTATTTCTGCTGTTCACCCTCCTGACAGCTGTAGAGAGATGAATTTAGTAATGAAAATAAAAACAATGGGCATGTGTCATTATAATTATGATTTATACTTTTTTGAATGTATCTGTATATAAAGTATATAGGAATGTCAAACTGGCGGCTCACGGGTCAGTTGTGTCACATGCACATACCCCAGCTCTGCAAATGGGGAAACTGTCACAATGTGTCATGTAATAGCAACGTCATATGGGGAGTTTGAAACCCGTGGTGTATAGGTTCATTTTATTTTATTGTTTAGAAATGAGCTTCCTGTTCCACAACTGCCATCATTCCTCCAGTTAGTCATAGCTCTCAGAGGGATGCGAAGACGTCTAACAGATGCTGCTTCTCTAAGCCCAAAAGGAAGATATCAAAAAATAAAAAAATAAATAAAAATAAAATTGCACCCATGGTATAGAACTGGGATCCCCAAAAATAATTAAATTTGCATCTTCAGTGTAGAACTGAGACCTGAGTCAGCTGGTATCTATGCAGAAACATTAAACATTATTCAGACAAAAGCCTCATGATATGAGGAAATTGTCACATGCAGATCAATGTAGAGCGTGTGGGAAGAACTGAAAGGATGAACGATTCCTCTCTCACAAAAGGAGCCAGAAGCGCCCCAAGTGCTTGTGCAATTTTCTTTTCAAGCATTATGGACATATTTTGCTCTTCTGTAGTATGGTGATGGCTAATAAGTCCACATTTGAATTAAATAAAATTAATTAAATATCAATGGTGTGGTTTTGTTCCAGTCACGTGTTATACTCATCTGTTAAACTCTTTAGTTGCTTTAAAAATGTATTAACACAGGAGTTTTGGAAGAATTCGGAGGGCCATATTTCAGGATTTGAAAGGCTCATGTTGGTTTTGTAATGTATTGAGTTTTGGCGGGAAGTTTGAAAGACAATGGGTCAACTGTGATTGGTCAGCTCCCGGCCCAGCCAGATATATAAAGGGAGCTGTGTTACTGCATGTTTTGCTGAAGTCACACCCTGCATTAAAGAGCTGTTGTCACAGAAGACCTTGCTTCTGCCTCTTCATTCCCACAACCTAACATTGGCAACGGTGAAGGTGGGATTGAGGTAACGAAAAGCAAGCCGAAAAAGAGCCAGCAATAACGGATTCAGCCAGGCAGACGAGCTTAGAACCTTGCAGGACTACCACAATGTCTGCGTATGTACCGCCAACGCCTTTCAACCCAGCAAGAGAGAAGTGGGGATCGTACATGACCCGGTTTGAGTGCTCCCTGGAAGCCAGTGACCTAAATGGCCTCCCTGACAACCGGAAAAGAGCTCTCTTCCTGAGCCACTGCAGACCAGAAGTCTTCGACATGGCTGAGTCACTATCAGAACCAACTCCGGTCCAGACCGTATTGTGGCAAGTGTTGCAAGCCTCACTAAAGACACACTATACTCTGGTACCATCCAAGTTCATCCAGCGGTACGAGTTCCGGCAACGAGTGCAGCAAGGAGGAGAGCCGATCAGCGCTTACATGGCTGCCCTGCGTAAGGCTGCAACGCACTGTGAGTAATGAGACCTCGATGATGCACTCCTAGAGCAACTAATCTGTGGTGTGAGAGATATTCGCCTATAGAGAAGGTTGCTAGCCAAGTCTAACCTGACTACTACACATTGCTCTTGACGAAACAAAAGCATACAAGTCCTCCACAAGGCTGCGGAGACCCTACAACGACCAGCCACCTCACAAGCAACCCCAAGATCGACACCAGTGCACCACGAGGCGACCCAGACCTACAGCGAGGAAGAGTTGGATGAAGACATCTTCCAAACAGAAAGAACGTCACAGAAGCTGCTCAAGCTGCGAGGGTCACACCAAAGACAGACCTGTAAATTCAGGGACGCCATCTGCAGATGCTGTGATAAGAAGGGGCATTTGGTGAGAGTCTGCTGAGCAAGATTACCAGTCAGCCACAAGCCAAGGGACAGATACAGCCAATCAGAGCCAGTGCAGCACAAGTGGACAAATAAAAGATTGCGACCCGAAGAAAAGGCGCGAGTTTCAAAATCACGAGACCTGCAGCACCCAGATTGGCTAGGCCAGCGCAACCATCGAGAAGAAGGTCCACACCACGGTAGAGATCAAGGGAAGCCCATGTGAGATGGAGATTGACACCGGGTCATCACTATCGATCATGTCCTGGGCTACCCTGAAGGCAGCTATTCCTGGGTTGAAAAAGAGTCAACTACAGCTCCAACGGCTTCGGCTTCAAGACTACCAGGGAAACCGCATCCCCATAGAGGGAGTAGGCACGTTCCAGGTCCCGTATGAAGAGCACCGGAAGAAGCTACCCCTCACCATAGTCAGCGGAACCCTACCGAGCCTCCTGGGTCTGGACTTGCACAGACTATCGTAACTCACAGAGGTGCCTTCAAATGCACTAGGCTGCAGTTCGGAGTCAGCATAGCCCCTGGACTATTCCAAAGTACCATGGAGCATCTGCCCGGGGTAGTGCCCTATTTTTTTTTATTGAACAGTTTTAAAAGTTTTACAAACATTTCCCCTACCCCCTCCCCTTCCAACCCTCCCCCCCGCTTCCCAGAGCAAAATACAGGGTATAACATTTGACAAACATAAGCTAACATAAGCTAATTATCTGTAGCCTCCTAACCCCTTCTTGAACTTTTAACTCCCCTTTTACTAGACTAAGTTTAAGTACTTTATAAAATCTTTTGGATCATTCCTAAGCTATTTGAAATTTTTTAGTCCGATATTTGCCTTGAATATAATCAATCCATCTTCTCCATTCTAGCATGTATTTCTCATTTGAATTGTCCTTTAAATATGCTGAAATTTTTGCCATTTCTGCTAAATTTACTATTTTTAGTGTCCATTCTTGAATTGTAGGTAAATCTTCCTTCTTCCAATACTGCGCCACCAAAAGTCTCGCTGCAGTTATTAAGTTCAAAATCAATTTAGTCTCTATAACAGTACAATCTGTGATTATACCTAACAAAACCAACTGTGGGGTAAATTTTATCCTTTTTTTTAAAATGTTTTGAATAATCCACCATATTTTTATCCAAAATGCTTTAACTTTTTTACAAGTCCACCAAACATGAAAATAAGTAGCATCAACACAGTCACATCTCCAACATTTGGGTTGTAGGTTTGGATACATACAAGTTAACTTTTTGGGATCCAAATGCCATCTATAAAACATTTTATAAAAATTTTCTCTCAAGTTTTGAGCTTGTGTAAATTTTACATTTCTTACCCAAATCCTTTCCCATGTTTCCATCATTATCGGTTCCTCAAAATTTTGTGCCCATTTTATCATACAATCGTTAACTAACTCTGTCTCCGAGTCTATTTCTATCAATATATTATACAACCTTTTTATATGCATTTGACTCTGGTCCCTGATTTGTTTTATCAAAATTTCTTCATTTTGTGTAATACCAATTTTCTGGTCTTTTTTCCATCTATTCTGCAACTGTACATACTGAAACCAAGTTTGAATTGCCCTTTCCTCTCTTAATATGTTCAAAAGCTTTAACTGTAGTACATTTTTTTCTGTAATCAAAAGTTCTTTATAAGTAATTACATCCTGTCTTTGTTCTATACTTATATTTTCTATCACATGTCTGGGTACTGCCCACATGGGTATCTTGCCATTCAATTTATATTGGTATTTTTTCCAAACACGCAGGAGAGCGTTCCTTAATATGTGACTTCTATCCACCTTCTTCTCATAAACTAAGTAGGCATGCCAACCATATAACAAATCATACCCTTCAATATTCAATATTCTTTCATCTGTTAAATTAATCCAGTCACTAATTGCTGACAAAGCAACTGCTTCATAATACAGTTTTAAATTGGGCAATTTCAAACCACCTCTTTCACGTGTATCCTGCATTATTTTTAATTTAACTCTCGGTCTCTTCCCTGCCCAAACAAAATTATTAATGCCTTTCTGCCATTCCACCAAATTTGCATCCTTTTTAAGTATTGGTATCATTTGAAAAAGAAATAAAAATTTTGACAGAACGTTCATTTTGACTACTGCTATTCTTCCTAACAGGGACAATTGTAATTTTTTCCATTTATCCATCTCTATCTGTATTTTATGCCATAACAATTCATAATTGTACTTGTATAATTTCCCATTTGACATAATAAAAATTCCTAAATACTTAACCTTTTTCACTATCTCGCATCCTGTTACTCTTTCCAATTCTTCTTTTTGATTTATATGCATATTCTTAACTATCATCTTTGTTTTCCCTATATTTATTTTAAACCCTGACACTTGACCATATTGCCTAATTATATCCATTAAACCCATAGCTGATTTTACTGATTGGGTTAAAGTTACAACCAAATCATCCGTAAATGCTCGTAATCTATAATCATGTTGCCTAATTTTAATACCCTGTATAATATCCGAGTCCCAAATTTTATTCAACAATACTTCCAAAGTTAAAATAAACAATAGTGGAGCCAAGGGACATCCCTGTCTTGTTCCTTTCTCAATATTAAAAAGTTTCTGTAAGACTATCATTAACTATTATTTGTGCTGTTTGTTTCTGGTATATTGCCTTGAGAGATTGTATAAAACACTCTCCTAGCTGCATCTTTTGTGCTACTTTCACTAAGAACTGCCAATTCAATCGATCAAACGCTTTCTCTGCATCCAAAAATATAAGCACTGCAGGGACTTGATTGTTCTTCCCCAAATACTCCAGTATATTAACAATTTGTCTTATATTGCTTTGTGGGAATGCAGTGGCCATAGTACATGTATAGACCAGTTTAACTGGTTGGACACTTGTATGGAGCTTAGCATCGAAATAATCAAACTATGAAAAGCGGGTTCATATGGATACTCTCTGAAGGGCCCTATTCATTCTCTCTTTGTTCTTAACATAGACTGTATTAGCAAAGCCAGAGATATCCCTTCCTGCTACATTCCTGAGGGTTGAGGTAATCTCTGATAGCGGGGATACGAGGAGATGGGCCTCTCGCCTGGTAGTAACTGGTACCAAATAGCCAGAGTTGAGTTTCGCTTTTGCATCTTTAGTATCGCTTTCCTATCTCTTGTATGTAATATGAGATGTGTAGCCATTATAACGCCTTCTGATGACGCTGTATTTGGATAACTAATAAAAGAGATTGTAGCCTTTTGTTCGCTGCTCTCTCATCCCGAGAAAACACCTGTCCTTGTGTTTTTTCCTAATCTGGACCATTCATGAGGAGCCCGCCAGGATGATTCCAACATTGCTTTTCATTTGTCTCCCTTGTATAAATCCAGTTTGATCTTTATGAATCACTTGTTGCATAACTAACATTAGTCTGTTTGCCAAAATTTTTGCAAAAATCTTATAATCTATATTAAGCAATGATATGGGTCTGTAATTTTTGGGTTGACTATGGTCTTGATCTTCTTTTGGGATCAGGGAAATAAAAGCTGTTTTCCAAGATGGTGGCACTCTCCATTCCCATTGTATTTTAGCAAATAATTCCTTAAGCAGTTCTACCATTTCTAGTTGGAAATTTTTATAATACACTGCTGTCAAGCCATCTGTATCAGGAGCCTTTCCACTTTTTAATTGTTTAATTGCCAAAAGAATTTCCTCAGTGGTTATTGATACATTCAATCTTTCCCTTTGTTCATCAGTAATTACAGAAATATTCTCCTTCTGCAAAAATCTCTCTATATCATTTTTTCTTTTTCTTTTTTGTTAACTGGCGCAGAGTGCGGCCGCGCGGGTGGTTATGGGAGCAACATGGAGCTCCCATGTAACACCTCTCCTGCGCGAGCTGCACTGGCTCCCGGTGGTCTTCCGGGTGCGCTTCAAGGTGTTGGTTACCACCTTTAAAGCGCTCCATGGCTTAGGACCTGGTTACTTACGGGACCGCCTACTACCATCAACAGCCTCCCACCGACCAGTACGCTCCCACAGAGAGGGGCTCCTCCAGGTGCCGTCGGCCAAACAATGTCGGCTGTCGGCCCCCAGGGGGAGAGCCTTCTCTGTGGGGGCCCCGACGATCTGGAATGAGCTCCCCCCAGAGATACGGAGGATTCCGGATCTGCGCACCTTCCGCCGCGAGTTGAAGACGCTTCTATTTCATCAAGCCGGCCTCGCCTAATTCTTCTCCCTTTAAACTGTAAATTTTAAATTTTTAAATGTATTTTAAAATTATGGGTTTTTAATCAGTATTAATTTCAGCCAAATTTATTTAATTCATTTTACTTGATCTTAAATTTTGTATATTTATGTGTTTTATCTCATGGCTGTGCACCGCCCTGAGTCCTTCGGGAGTAGGGCGGTATAGAAATTCAATAAAATAAATAAATAAATAAATAAATAAATGGAATGCTTATACTATATTATACTCTATTTTTTCTATCGTCCGAGATTTTTGTTTTTTCCTTAACATATATGCTAACCACCTGCCTGGTTTATTTGCATTGCAAAAAGTATTATGTTTAGCATATTTCAAATTCGTTGCAACTTGGTCTGACATCAACATATTAAACTGTTCTCGCAATAAGAGCCCTGGTAGTACAGTGGTTTAATGCACCCTGTAATTAACACAGCTGCCTGCAATTTCTGCAGGTTTGAATCTTACCAGGCTCAAGGTTGACTCAGCCTTCCATCCTTTCTAAGGTAGGTTAAATGAGGACCCAGTTTGTGGGGGCAATAAGCTGACTTTGTATAAATATACAAAAGTATGAAGGCTATTGCTTAATGCATTGTAAACCGCCCTGAGTCTCCGGAGAAGGGCGGCATATAAATCAAATAAAAATAAATAAATAAATATTGAAATGGCTTCTTTTATATTCTTATCATCTGGTTTATCCACTAACACCTGTTCCTTCTTTTTTATTTCCTCTTCCAATTCCCTCCATTTTTTCCCCTGTCTACGTCTGTAAGAGTTATTCAAACTTATTAAAACTCCTCTCATATATGCTTTACTTGCATCCCATACCATTTCTACAGGTGTACCCTTATGCATATTTAAAGCAAAAAATTCTTTCATTAACTTTTTACATTCTGTCACATTTGCCTCATATCGAAATAAATTTTCATTCAATCTCCAAGATCTCCTACACCCCTCCCCATGCTCTAATTCCATCCACACCGGATTATGATCTGTTAGAGTTCTTGGACATATCTTTGTCTTCTTTACCCTGGAAAGAAAATCATTTGTAATTAGTATAAAGTCAATTCTAGAAAAAGATTGGTGCCTATCTGAAAAAAAAGTAAAATCCTGTTCTTTAAAATTTCGTTCACACCATATGTCTCTCAGCTCCATATCATCCAACATGTCAAAAAAAGATTTAGGCAATTTAGCCCGTGTTTGAATGTTCGGCGAAAGGGTCTTTTTGTCTTTTTTAGTGTCCAGTAGACCATTCCAGTCACCCATCATTATGCATGATTTATAATCCATTTGTATTAATTTTTTATGCAAAAGTTTATAAAATTTCTCTTGTTGTTGGTTAGGTGTATATACTCCCATTAAAAGTATTTTCTTCCCTTCTATTATTAATTAAATCATTATATATCGTCCTTGTAGATCTGCTTCAATTAATTTAGCCATTAAATCTGTTCTTAGGTATATAACTATACCATTTTTCTTCTCAGGAGATGATGCAACAAAATGTTTGCCCAGTCTAGCATTTATTAAGTATTTCTGATCACTCGTTCTGATGTGTGTTTCTTGCAAACAAATTACATCATTTTTAAACTGTTTCAAATAGTGAAATATTTTCTTCCTCTTTTGTGGTGAGTTTAAGCCATTAACATTCCAGGTCAAAAATTTATTTGCCATCCTTGGCCCCTGAAAGCTTATACCGACTGGAAGTCCTCCTGGAATTTCCTCTGCCGAGCAAGACTACCGGTCAGCCACAAGCCAAGGGACAGATACAGCCAATCAGAGACGGTGCAGCACAAGCGGACAAATAAAGATTGCGACCCAAAAAAAAGGCGCGAGTTTCAAAATCACGAGACCTGCAGCACCCCCAGGCCAGCGCAACCATCAAGAAGAAGGTCCACACCACGGTAGAGATCGAGGGAAGCCCATGTGAGATGGAGATTGACACCGGGTCATCACTATCGATCATGTCCTGGGCTACCCTGAAGGCAGCTATTCCTGGGTTGAAAAGGAGTCAACTACAGCTCCAACGGATTCGGCTTCAAGACTACTATGGAAACCGCATCCCCGTAGAGGGAGTAGGCACGTTCCAGGTCACGTATGAAGAGCACCAGAAGAACACCTTCTCCATAGTCAGTGGAACCCTACCGAGCCTCCTGGGCCTGGACTTGCACAGATTATCCAAACTCACAGAGGTGCCTTCAAATGCACTAGGCTGCAGTTCGGAGTCAGCATAACCCCTGGACTATTCCAAAGTACCATGGAGCATCTGTTACAAGGAAGGCCAGAGATAGTGCCCTATTTTGATGATGTCCTTATTAGTGCCACTAGGAGACTGGCTCAGGCTAGTGTTGGAGAAATTCAGGGGTGTTGGCCTCAGGGTCAAGAGGAAAAAGTGCATGATAGCAGTACCCTCTGTTGCATTTTTAGGATACCAGGTGGATGGGACAGGCATACACCCCACCGAAAGCAAGATCAGGGCCATCAAAAATGCACCAACTCCAAAAAACAAATAGAAGCTACAGGCTTTCTTGGATCTCCTTAACTTCTATGCCATATTCCTGCGAGACAAGGCAACGATAGCTGAACCCCTACACTGGCTGTTGACTAAGAACGCGCGCTGGGTTTGGGGAAAGACTGAAGCTGCCGCCTTCACTGCAGTAAATTTTTTTTTGTCCGCGGACAGTTTCCTAATTCAGTACAATGCGACGCTTCCGCTTGTACTAGTCTGCGACGCGTCCCCTTTTGGAGTGTGGGCCATTTTGAGCCATAGACTGCCAAATGGACTAGAGGCGCCCATTGTGTACTACTCCCACACCCTGTCCAGCGCAGAGTGGAACTACAGCCAGCTGGACAGAGAGGCCCTTGCAGCCATCTTGGGGGTAAAGAAATTCCATGAATACCTATTCGGGCAAAATTTTGAACTTGTTACGGACCACTGACCACTTTTGGGACTCCTGGCTGGGGATCAGCCCACCCCCGCTGCCTTGTCTCCACAAATGACACGATGGACCATTTTTCTGGCGGTTTAGTCCTACCGACTTGTCCACCAACCCAGACTAAGCTTAGGGCATGCCGACGCCCTCAGCCAATGCCCGTTACCAGACATCCTAGAGGACCCAACCCCGGACGTGCCAGTTCTCCTCATTGATGTTTTGGACTCGGGGCCTCTCACTTCAACCGAAGTGGTGAGAGCCTTGGCTAAGGATCACGTGTTGAGAACAGTCATGAGCTGGGTCACGAGGGGTTGGCCAACAAAGACTGAGGGCAGGGAATTCAAAGCATTTGCAAAGAAGAAAAATGAACTGTCAATGCAAGGGGGTTGTTTGTTGTGGGGTGACCGTGTCATTTTGCCCTTATCCTTAAGGGAAAAGGTTTTTAAAATGTTACATGAAGGGCACCCCGGGATCATAAGGATGAAGGGGCTAGCCAGGAGCTATGTCTGGTGGTCCCAGATGGACAATGACATTACCAAGTGGGTGGGTGTTCTGTTCCCGTCCCACACACGCACACCAACAGACGTCCAAGAGTTAAAAACCAAACCAGCTGACAAGAAACTCCCTTTTGATAATGGAACTTGGCAGCAACCTAGTGGCTGCCTGCCAAGAGTCTTTTACTTACGAAGGGAGGAGAAAACTTCTCTCCGCTTTTGTACATCAAAGTAAATGTTCAATAGGTACAGGGTAAATTAAGTCCAGTTCACAAATGTAGTCCAGCAAAGCCTATAGCAAAAGTCCGGCAATGCAGAATGGCGTGGAAGCTTTCAGCTTTGTTCGTCACAAGGTTTGACTGGCCACCACACTCCCTTTTATACCCTGTGGGGTGTGGTCCAATGACTCAGCCTAATCTCTGCCATGCCTCCTTTTCTGTTGCGTGCACTTATCTCTCCGACGCTGGCGTGGATCCAGCCAAGACTCATCCCCATCACTGTCTGACTGCGACTGCTCGGGGATACCTGGCTCCTGGCCAATCTCTTCTCCTTCGGGAGACACCTGAGGCATTGCCAGAGAGGAGGGTCCTGGAGAGGGAGGCCTGGCCAACTCCTCTCCTTC